GGCTATCTGGGATTTCTTAAAATGTAAATATGAATCGTTCTATGGCATGGCCTCCAGAGTACCTTTTACTGTATGTCTAAATCTTTTTAAATTTGCAATCATGGCTTTATTGGTTCTTATGTATTTTTATAACAACCATAACTCTTTTAACCATAAATATATCAATTGCTCGATTAAGATTCAAGCAATTGTATATGTGCAGCTGAAAATAGGATTTTTTTCTTTAAAATATCATAATCAGTGGGTCGATAACGCTGATGTGGAATCAGATCCTTGGTTAATCACCACCCAAAAGTAAAAGAAAATAAAAGATAACAACACATTATAAATGTGATGCGTCCAAAGAGCTTTTCTGGATTTCCCTTCATCGGGAACGCACAAAGCCGAATATTTGAAAGCCAAGGATGTATAAGAACCGAAACAGCTGTAGAGCTATACGACCAAAAAGGACATTTTGTCAAAAGCAAACGAAACAATTCATCACTTACTTTCTACATAATAAATCGTAGAAAAGAACTTTAAACACGTAAGGTAATAAATTCTAGTCATATTGGAAATAAAATAAAAATTCGCCCAATAAACAATATTTCCAGTATTCATCCTACATTAACGTCTTTTTTAGAATGGAAGAAGCAGAATATTGTGCTGGATGTCTTCGGTTTGGTGACGAAAGAGATGCATTGTTTTGGTGTGCACATTGTAGCGAATTTGTCTGCAATTCTTGTGCCAAATTGCACAAAAAATTGCAAACACCTCATGCCGTTTTTGCAAAGGAGCAATTAAGCATCAGTTCAGAGCTTCTTAGACTGGGAAGGAATTGTGAAATCCATCGCTTACAAAACATTGTTTTCTTTTGCTGTCAACACGATCAACTTGCTTGCGACAAATGTAAGTCAGAATCCCATCAAACTTGTACATCTATCGTTTCCATTGAGGAAGCAGCTGAGAACGTTAGGAACGGGACAGTTTTGTCTGATTTAGAAAGAAGGATTGATAACTTAAGTCAAAGAATAGGGGGAATTCTTAAGTATAACAAAAATCCAATTGGACATGATGAATATGATAGGACCGAAATAAAGAACAAAGTTCGTGATGTTAAGCAACAATTAGTACTTCACTTTGAAGAGCTAGAGAACCAGCTGTTTAATGATATCGATAAAATGTTTCCAAACTATGTTCAATCAGAATCCCTTGATCTAAAGAATTTAAAAACAACTCTTAAAACGGTGGACGGTTAGAAACAAGATTTAAAATCTCTAAAAGAAAACACATCTGAAATCCATCTTTTCAAAGTTATCAAATTCTTAGATAAAGAGGTTCATACTAAAGCATCGGAAGTCGCAAAATGTACAACAAACAAACAAGTTATAACCTTTGAGCCTTCAGAAACGATATTGAGTTATAGGACAGTATTCCAATCGCTGGGAACAGTATCAATCAGACCGTTGTCAAATCCAACGACACTGAACCCGGAAAAAATACGACAAAGTCAAGTCCCTGTTCGTGACCCTCGGGAAACACTCTCTTTTGTACGTTCAATCAAAGCAAATACATTGGCCGAACACGTTAAATTATTAAGAAGATGTTTTATATCAGCTGATAAGTTACTGCTAAAGCCGCAATTTGGATTTGTCCTTTACATTTGTAATCTTCATGGATCCGATCCAAAACCAATTACGTTAGATTTCTACCCAGAATGCCTAACCAAGTTTGATAATAACCAAGTCCTGGTATCGTCCGGTGAACATTTCATACAGGCAATTAACATTGTAAATATGAAACCTGGGAGAAGAATTCAGATCGGAGGAACATATTGCAAAGGACTTAGCAGCATAAATGAAAAAATCTGGTTCAAAGGCGATGACAAGACTCTTGTTTCAATTGATACTGATAGAAACGAATTAGATAAGATAACAACAACAACTGACCCGCGTGATATTTGTGTCCACCGGTCTGGGGATATATTTTTTACCTCAGAAAGTAACAAAATATTTGTAATAAGGTCTGACAGAAAGACACGTTTATTTTACCGCCCACCCTGGAAAAATCCTGATCTCGTCCATCCATCAGGTTTGACTGTAGCTGGCAATGATGTGTACGTTGCAGGGATGGATTCAAATAACATACATAAAATTTCAATTGATGGGCAGAATCACACAATTGTTCTTACCGAAGGTGATGGCATAAAGGAACCGAGCGGACTATCTCACAATAGTGACACAAAAGAACTAATAGTCGTAAATAACCGCGGACTTTCGATTGACTTTTTCAAAATTAAATGATCCAAGTGGCAGAATTATTTGCAACAGCAGAGTTGTTTCTTTAACAATTATCATTTAACAAGTACATAATTATATATTTAACTATTAGACAGTTTATATTTTTCTAAATTTTTATTCATTAAACTTATATCTTATTCAGAATTTAGCTGACTTCTAAGACATTTTGCAAAAGAAACTAAGACAACTTTAAACGTATTCTCTTTATCGGCTTACTTTTTTTTTATATTGCCTTCATTTATGAGTTTGTTCATTTTAAGTCTTCAAAAAGGAATGTAAACCAAAGATAGCCATATTTACTCTTTCACAGTTATAGGTTTGTTTTGTTTATAAATTTCCAATTAATAAGTTTCTGTAATAACATTCACGGTATCAATCTAACTGCACCAGATGAGCTTTTCGACATTAAATGTCTTTTCAGTGATGCTCGAGGCCTGAAAATCCAAAACTTACTCACAAATTGAACAGCTGATAAAACCAAAATTAGTCTTATAACAACGTTGAAACTCCCTCAGATAAGCTTGACCTAATAACATAATCGGTACTAATGTTACTGTACCAGATGTACATACCGTCAAATAATGGCTTTGCAGTGATTAAAATTATCGAAAATGCAAAACTTAATACAAATTTTGAAGAGCTAAAACGGTTTGTATCTATGATGGGTTTATTTGGCTGTTCTATTTACACGGTGCAGAATGGTTACGGACTTTTTGGGATTTTTATGCGTTTCCTGACTAAACGAGTTCAGCAATGGATTTTTCGTGATACAAAAATTGACCCCGTGTCAGAAATGGATACAGGAAAAAAAAAGAAATTGTAAGAATCATTGAAACTATGTTCACGGAACATCCCAATATATATCTTTGTTTATTTATTTGTTTTCATCAAATGTCTACAAATAACTTCAAAATGGCCTACACAAACGCAAGAAATAACTCAATCCAGTCCGAGGTAGTTATGTTTTTCAAGACATTTATTATTTCTTCGTATCGATTGACTTCTTTTTCTTTGACACAAAACGTAGTTCTGAACTGACATAGCAGATTAAACATATGGTTGTTAATTTGACAAATTGGATTAATCTTAAATCATTACGAACGGACTTTTTGTGGATAGAGCACCTGGCTAGATTTTTTGGCACCGGACTGATGGGAACCATTTTGCAACTATATATAACTAATTGTGTTATTTCATTTAGTACCAATACGGTGCACTAATTGTAAATATAACAACTGAATTCTGAAAAAGCTGTTTAAATTAACAGATCTAAGACTTTTCACTTAAATTAAATACATCTAATACTTGATATAGTGTTTACACATGCTTGTCTTGACAAGACTCATGGTCGAGATACAAATCTAGCACAATGTATGAAAATAATGTTTCAAGTTTGAAATGCATAAAATGTATAAGCAATGTGTAGCTAGGTATTGACTGGTTTCCTGGTCTTTACTTGAAGTATCAAGTACCAAGAGGATCTAAGAACTATTATAGACTAGAAATCTCTAGTCAGCTATGCAAAATAAGAACAATAATGCACTACATGATTCATTCCTTGTCGCGCGACTCATATCTAGTAAGGCGTCATTGGTGTCTGAGTATGAATTTGATCAGACATGGTTTTATCGAATAACATCTCGTACTTTTTCTCAAAGTACCAAGACCTATAAGATAAATGTCCAGTTTCTACATCACAAATAGCACGGGATGGTCTTTTTGTGTCTCCAAGGGTGACTAAGGAATAGAAATGTAGTCACTTTGGTCTCCTTCCTATCGGAAGTAAAACCCTTACCAAAGTAAGGCGTCTGTTTGGCCGTCCGGGAAGTCATAAACAGTCAGTTCCCTAGGGATGACAGGGAATCGAAATTTGTCACTCTTGTTTTTTTTTCCGACCGGCAATAAAACTCTTACAAAAGTATTGTGTTCGTTTAATTGTGCGCGATGTATAAATACGCAGCCACGTCCGGTCAGAATGGGAACGTTATATCTGATGTATCGTGTGAAGAGAGTGCCACGCTTTCTGGACATTAAAACCGCCTGCAACAACTCTTTGAGGGGTCCGTAGCTGGCCTGTGGCAACGGTATCTTTCTGGCCTTATCCAATATACCCTCATTTTCTAGTGACATTCCTAATTTCCCTGATCTTCATCCATGATGGCCTCCATTAAAGGACCTCCCTATTGTATTTATTGTTAACACATTTGTTCTCGTCCTTAACATGCATGAATTATTTGTCAGTGGACTTTAAGCAACCAACACTCAATTAATCACGATGGTCTTGATTTATACATTCTAGATGCTGCCGTTGTGTATCATTTTATTAAATTTACATTTTTACCTTTATTTGTCTTTGTACTATAATTTTCCTTTTGGTCGTATGACTCTTTGCGTGACTCAGTATACGTCCATCCAGCTTTCGGATTTTTTGGCATTTGGGCGTTCCTGGTGCGGGCTGTGTCCAGATGTACGATTCGGGTGCATGAGGTTTTTACAGTGTTGTTTTCATTTTGTTTACTCTTGTATTTATACTTTACTTAATTAGATATTTGTCAGGAAAGTGTATATGTCATCATCGTTTACTACACTGTACTAAGTTTGTTATGTTTGTTTTAATTTTTGCTCTGTATGTGATATATATAAACACAGTTTGACCCAGACTTATTTGTATGTTTGTTAGAATTTTTTTAAGTCAGTTGTGCTTGTATGTCTGTGCACTACTGGACGAAAAAACAACTGTCCATACCAGTAACAGTCGTTGTACGACTGTCTTAGTCTGTGGAAGACTGAAGATGACTGTCAAAGAAACTGATACAGTTGATTAATGTCTGTCCCAACACTTTTATGGGTTGTGAAAATCAAAAAATGTTATCAACAGTCATTTAAGGACTGTTGCAGTGGTTTACGGGGTTGTCACAGTCAAATACTATTTATTACAGTCTTTCCAAAAGTTGTGGCAGTTGTATAATGTTTGTCCCAACCTTTTAATAGTTGGGACAGTTGAAATTTGTTTGTGTCAACTTTTCAGACGTTGATGCAGTCAAAAAATGTTTGTTACAACGTTTCTAGAGTTTGGACAGTTGTAAAATGTTTGTTACAACTTTTTAAAGGCTGTTACAGTCATTAAATGTTTATTACAAATTTTAAAAGGTTGCTACAGTCGTTAAATGTTTAAAACAAACATTTCATAGGTTGTTGCAGTCGACAAATATTTTAGCGTCACGGTAGCAACTCAGTGTAAAAAAAAAATTACGTTTCAACCGGCTCTCAAGATTTGATATAGTTGTGAAATAGCCCATAATTTATACTATTATCATCTATTGTGCGGTTGTTGACTTGTTTTGTTTTTTATTTATTTATTTTGCGATCGTTGTTTGTCTTTTGTCGTTTTCCGTTTATTGCAATAGCATTGTCCGTTTATTTTTGACATGTGCGTTTGATTTCCCTTTAGGTATCTTTACTTTTTATTTTATCTATTCAGATTCGTTCATAACTGGTTTTACATACCAGAAGCCTTCGTTTAAAAATAGAGTTTTAATATTATTGCAGAAGATGCTAATGAATTCATTCAAATTTATATTTGAAAAATTTTTGATAACTTCTGATCGAGGAATAGAAAATGTACCGTCGGTGTACCTGAAGTAAATTTAAAGAATATGACTCAGTTACCAATATTGTACAGCATAATAAAACAGTTTTAATTTGAATTACTCTCCATGAGGGATATTTCCGATGATAAAAAAAAAAATAATTAAAACTGTCAAGTTTCATTAAAAACGGAAAACAATTCTTCACCGTGAACGATTTACCCTCTTTATTTTCTTGTCGGCAAACTGGACCTGCAGGTCGGCAAACTATATTTTACACAGGAAACTACAGATGTTAGACCACATGTACAATATAAGCCGAGCTGGAAATTATAATCGGTGAGTAGAAATGATCAATATTTTAAAGCATGTTTATCGAATAATCATGGATCCAAGATCTTCCTACAGACAGGCTATGAATCGACGATCTATATCACCACACTCGTGCATAGTTGCATGTTCCAAGGCAAAGTTAAGATTTGGGCTTGGAAAAGTTGTGCATCATTGAAATTCATGTATGACACCATTCCCCCTCCCCCTTTTATCATGTGTATGTCATTTAATCCCTTATTTACTTTGCATACATCACCCCATGGGTGACAAGGTCAAGGGAATAAAAAAAGGTTACTCTTGATCTTCATCGTCTTACTGTTAAACTCTAACATGTGGGGCATTGGTTAACTTTTGTTGTGCGGGATGGCCTTTAACAGGACCTATACATCATGTACATATTGTATGTTAATGTATTGTTAACTCTCTGGTCTTAAATTTGCATGAAATACTTGTCACTGGACTTTTTATAACCAACAACCAACCAATCTTTACATGCACATATCCAAATAATTGTGTTACTAATGCTGGATTACAAGTATTTCCCTGGTTTTGCTTTATCAGCTGATAGTTTTGGTTCTATTATTTAAGAATGCATTGTGACGTCACAATTTCCATTGAAAAACATGCATAGTACAAATTAATATGACGGTGTACGAAAACATATGATATGACCATAAAGTTTTATGAAAATTATTAATTTTAGTGACTTATTTAGCAAGTATGCATTTTCATTCAATTTTTAAATAATTCCCAAATATGGACAACAAAACACGAATATATTTGATAATATATTAGGCATTGAAAGTGAATATGTATTAGATGGTTAAAAATAACATTAATCATCAAAATAAAACAATATTATTAACTTAATGTTCCTGAAACCATGCACAGAGTCATAACCATGATAACAGTTGCCATTTAAACACAGTTGATTAAACAAAATGTGCTAATTCAATTAGTAATTGTTTCATCATGTACTTAAGGATTCATATTGAACAAGGGTTGTGGAGGTTGTTGCATCTTTTCTCAAATGAATAATTACAATGAATAAAATATCTATAAATATTTCATCATGTTAATTGCTACATGCACATGGTTTTAAGTTAAAAAGAAATAAAAACATATTAAAAGAGCAAAGTTAGCATCATAATTATATTCTTTTTAGATTTAACATAGAATATTAAATCACTATACATTTGTAAATACTTTGAACCTAAACTATATATTTTCATGTGAAATTTTTATATAAATTGTGCCCTGTAGCATGGTTAGTCAAAATTCATTTATTCCATAAACATGATAAATGTTATCTAGTAGTAACATTCAAGGGTCTTTTTATTTATTCCACCATTAAAATGATTAAAGGACTTTCTATTCATGAGTCAAATTTGTGTGTTAAATTGTGTTTTGGTTACTTTATTGTTGCCTTACTGTTGGGTTGATGCATCATTGATATATAATTATATCCCACATCTCCTTTCATCATGTGCATTCACATCTGACTGCAGATTTTTTGCCTTTCCTACATAATTATTGTATGTTTAACATTCAATATGTGCGGAAAACATAACAAACAAATCTATCTGTAAGCATATTTTTTTTTATCTAAACATGGTATAAACTTTTTTAAAGTATTTTATGAAGCTCAAAATATTTTTTATAGATATTGTATTATCAAGTAAGTTGTCATAAAATTTACTGTGTTAACTGCATTGTATGTCTAATAATTTGGTTTAAAAATACCTTTTATTCAAATTCAAAATAAATAATTAAAATATATGTATTTACTGAACATAAATTCATGACCATGCAAATGTGACATTAAAATAGGTAATAATCAGGATGTTAACACTGGATAGGTAATAATCAGGAATTCTTATATACATGCTATAGCTAATATACAGATTAAGACACACAATAGTTTATTGCCTTGGGGAGGAATTTTAAACTGTCATGGGTATATATTGAGGATGATTTTATAATGATGTTCACAAATTATAATTGTCCTCTTCAAAATTTTGATAAATTTTTCAAAATAAATTATAATTTAAGCAGTTAAGAAAAATATGAAACAGCAGGATATAATATTATTTTGGATACAAATTATGCATATTTTAAAAGTTATCTGAGTATTGATTTATCAAAATAAAATTGGGTAAATAACTAAAATAAAATAAAGAAAGTGTTGTCTGAGCTGCAAAGCATTATTTAATACAAGCTGTAATAAGTAAAAAGTATTCTGGGTAACACAAAAGATGTAAAAGTAAACTCAAGGATTTAAAACATTAACAGGGAGGGTTAAGCCTTGGAACAGTATATATATTATCCTGATTAACCTTAGGGACAAAGATTCTACATTTACATCACAAAGGTTTATTCATTATATGCACTTGACAAAGGGAAAGTCAATAGCATCTATATAGTAACAGTGCATTTATTTATTTAATTATTTTTTTCATTCTTTAAACTTTTCTCTGTAGTATCAATCTATTTCATATTAACATGAACAAAAGCAATAACCTGTTGTGTTTTAGAGAGGAATAACTATGTCCATGATGTCTGACTTTAAAGAATTGATGAAATAAAGTATGGTGTGAGCCTCAATAAGACAGTAACGCTTCAATGAAAGTACACAGTCACACATAAAAAATTGTTAATGTAGGAAAAAAGACAATACCATATATAGAATTTAGACCCCCTAAAAAGATTTATTCTTCTTGTTTAAAATTGGGACTTAAAAATATAGTTGTATAAGTCCTAGAAATTTTTTGTCAATCAAATGAGGATTGCTAGTTTTCATCTAGGTAAATACAGTTATTGTAATTGACTTTCTTTTAAGTACCGTACAATGTATATAGTATTATGTTAGTTAAAATTTTACTGTACTTTAGTCTCAATGTATATTTTTTTTTGTAGATTCATATTGGCTTGAGCATGACTCCTACTTAGAATATGAAGCCTGCTACATGTGCACTTTGATGCATAGGAAATATAGATGTCACTGAGTCACTCTTATAGCTGCAAATTGTGAAACAGTGGATTAATTCATTATTTTGTGCTAGTTATTTATTGTTTTTGGAAATAATGAATAGCACTTGCAGCATTATTCCATGATGATGATGACTTGTGATGTTAGGATTAAATTGGACAAGAAAAAAATTGTGCATTGTACATGTTGTACAAATAGGAAACTTACAAATTGTATTAAAGGAGGACCACAGTACTGGATGACTAAATAACTTGGATAATCGTGATAATTATTCATTTGGTATATCAATAATGAATTTGGAATAACAAGATTTCATAGTTTCAGTGCATATTATAGTGCAATCATACATTGTATCTGAATTCCATGAATACCTTGGATAATTATTCATTTGAAATAGCCATTTGGAATAATGAAAATTCATAGTTTCAGTGAATATTTATAATAATAGTGCATCATATCTGAATTCATGAATACTTTAGTGGATAATCAGTCATTTTAATATAATAACAATTTGGATAATGTGAATTTCTAGTTTCAGTGAAATTTACAAAACAGTGTATGTATATCGCATCTGAAGTTTATGTTGGCATTGCAATTGTTTACTACCACCAGGGTGTGTAAAAAGACCTTAACCACCCATGAGGGACTCTCGTAGTCCATCACAAATGTTTATTGTCAAATGACTGCTGGCTGTACTTCAAGTCTGAATAAAAATCTAAATTAGTGCCCAAGCATATTAAAAAAATAAACCATGTACTTCAAAGTATAATTTTATTGTCCCGCCTGCAACAAAAGTTGAAGTATGCAAGAAATAGGTATTACAATCTGGCAGCGGCTACAGTGTAACCTATTTGTATAAAGCTTCACTAGGTACATTTTAGAAGCTTAAAGACCTGGATACTTCTTTCATGTCTTTATGTTCAGTGTGATGTTATGAAGTTTCTGTTAGTAACTTGTCCGTTGCACTTTACCTGGTTTTCATGGTTGACTGACTGTTTGAAAAAATTATTACTGTTTGAACAGTCATACAGTGAAATACTCTCTTACATGTACATGTATAACATGTAAAATGAGTAATTGGACAAATTTATATGGTATATATATATAGGTATCTTGAAAGGTCTACATGTCTCATTGTCTGTCAGGCAGGGTTAACCTGACCTTGACTTAATTTCATGGACATGATGGATCAGTGATTAAGGTTTTTTCAGTTACTATGTCAAGTTTGTTTCTCAGATACTTCAAGCAGTAGGACTAGTAGGTATATTTGGTGTATGAAATGATTGTAAGGTGAATATACAGTCAGGGGTCATATTAAATAAGTGATTTTTAAATCACTTATTTAAGTAGCAAATTAAGAAGTTTTGTTACAAATTGTGATTTTGTAGTTTTACCAAAATTTTAAACACATAGGTTTAGATAATATCTTTTCATTAGTAAAATTGAAAAAATGAACTTTTTGCTTCTTTTAAGCAGCAAGGTTTATGCCTTTGATGCAATCATTTAGCTGCAAATTCTATTTTAGTTGAAAAAATGCTATAAAAATGGCTTTACATAATGAACTGATACTTTCTTAACAGATTTTTCCTAGCAGTGGGAGTATTTTTCCTGTAAAATTCAAGGTTTCATCTTATAGATTATGTAATAAAATTCTACTGTTCGCGATCAAAATTTCACTTTTCGGGGGTGTTGAAATTAGTGGGGGTTATTAAAATAATGATACTTAAAGAAGTGATTTTTTGGAAGGAAATTGAGGTATGATACTTAAACAAGTGATTTTTATGTCATTATCCTAGATTTAGTACAAGGTCATCACCTGACATGACCCGGTCATCCTATCAACACAGATGTTGGTTCTGATAATTTTAGCAACATAATTAGTCCCTGGATCATTAGTATTCTATATTTAAAGCTACAATAAAATTAAATCACTTAGTCTAGTGATTAATTTGTACTACTTAAATAGGTGATTATTAAAGAAAGACAACTCTTACTTCCAACCTTTATGGACGTAATGTTACTTGAATCAGTGATTTAGAAAATTACTCATTTAAGTAAGTCCCCTGACTGATATATCTGACTGCAAGACTTGCATCAGACTTTGACCTCAATGAAAATGTCATGGTTCATTGAACAATGTTTAGTTTTTGTGGTTTGGTCTATTTCCCAATGTTTCTCAGATGCTATAAACTAAATGTACATGTTCATGCATGACATGTATAGGATCACTATTTTTGGCATATTGGATATTTTTGTAAGTTGTACAAGTTTGATTGGGAGGTTTTAAATCTGACCATTACCTCATTTTCATGTTTCATTGGGCAATGTTTAGTTTTCATGGTTTGGATGTTAAGTCTATTTCACAGATACTATAAACCACTAAATTTTGGGTATGGAATGTCAGTTTGTAGGGTGTACATCATCTGTTTGGCATGGTTAATTTGACCATGACTTCATTTTCAAAGGTAATTGATAATGGAAAGTTTATGTGATACTTGTACATGTAGTAAAACCTTCATACATGTATTAAATTTTTTACATTCAACATAAATTCAATTTTACATGTAGGCAAAGCAGATATGACATTTCAGCGTGTGCACAGTCACTCTTGTTACATCACCATTGATCATGTCTACCATGTTGATTATAGCTGCTTTTTGTCAAAAGTCGGACAACTATTAACAATTGTTATATTTCATTTGATAATATTGTAGTCTTGTATAACATGTATAATGTCATGAATGTACAATAACCAGAATAAGGAGATGTGGTATGATTTTCAATGAGACAACCATCAACCGTAGACCAAGTGATGTAATTGTTAGTAACTGCACATCCTTCAACAATGAGCAAAATCAGTACCACCTATCATGATAATGAAAAACCTATAGCAGGCCTTGCCATATTGGATGATGTACATGTAACACAATGTAAACAAGTTTAGACGAGAAACCCAAGTTTGATTTATATACAAAAGCAACAAACAATCAGTTGGCGATAAAATTGAGTTAATCATGTTAATAGATATAAGAAGATGTGGTATGATTGCCAATGAGACACCTATCCATCCAAGTCAAAAATTTTGAAAAAGTAAACCATTATAGGTCAAAGTACAGTCTTCAACACAGAGCCTTGGCTCACACCGAACAGCAAGCTATATAGGGACTCAAAATTACAGTTAAGCATGTTTAGAATTTATCATGTTTACAGACCCATTGAAACATGAGTGATGACAAATGTATTATGGTTTACCAAAGACTTATAGGTGATCCAATATTAACAGGCTTCTGCCCTTAATTTTAATTTGCTATGATTTTAAAAACTTCTAGCAAAAGAAAAAAACCAACCTGTAATGAAAAAAAAAATTTAATAAAAATGTTTTCAAGAAAGGGATGAGAATTGGACATTTTTTTTTGTTGCTGTACAATTAGAATTAATGTATCGATACATATATATATATAGCATGGTGTGAAAAGCCTATGTCATATATACAAACATGACAAATAGACTAAAACATATGATAATAAACTGGTGAAATTGAGTAAACTGCTACTATATGACATCAACCCAACAACAACTAAATAACAAGCTAGAGGTCAACATATATCTATAAGTCTTAACACGTGAAAACTTTACGACAGATTCATCCATTGGAGAACAAGTGATCATTGATGGTGATACACGGCTGAAAACATAATTGCTCAAAATATCGACACAACAATGTAAAATAGAACTGCATTTTTTTTTATAAGATCATTATTAAATAAATAAAATGATGTCGTACTTGTTTACAAATTAGACAATTTTTCACCAAAAACCCAATGACATAGAAGTTAGCAACTGAATTGGCAAATTTGATAAGTTCAGAATAATAATTTCCAACATATAGGCAGCCAGATTAAATATTTTCACTCAGACCAGGGCCAGAATACTTATTTTCAGTCCATCCTTCTTTTAAAGTGAGTCAAAAAAAAATGTATGATTTAATTAATCATTGATTTTTTTTTCTAAGGGGCGCCCAAATAACTTCTGCTGGTAATTGTAATACATATGTACTGTTTTCATCACTGATTGAAGATGAATATAATTAGAATAATGGACCCATTTGCCTAATTTATAAATGTGACCATTTTAAAATTTCCATTACATCTAGTAAAATTGTTTGTTTTCTTTACTGGTTGAATAATATATCAATATTGGACAAGCATTTATATGATTAAATTAATTGAATTTAAAAAATGGAAATTGGAAAATATTTTGGATAAACATTAGCATGGTTAGTACGACATCTGATCAACTGAAACCATAAAGAGAATCTGATGTCAGTCTGTAGAATTTAACAAGACAGGAGTCTAAAGAATACAACACGTTCTAAACCGTTATGTGAATAAATAAAAGAATATTTGATTTCCTTGTCTGAAACAATGCGAGTTTTCTTGTTTTGAACATTTCAACTTTCACTGGCTCTAGTTATTTTGTCGGTCTTGTACAGTACGTCCATCTATTTATAAATACTTATGGTAAATTGGTTGAGAAAAATCCGGTGAAAATATGAATGATCTCGAGTGATAAATTCTTACCTCAATAAATCATGAATGAATGCCGAAGTGCTATTTATCAAGGACATTTGAACTTCAAATAGACAACTCGTTACAATATACAGTACAAAGTCGAGTCAATATTGAACTATTCAAAAATAAAATACAGTAAAATAAATTAAATTTAGATAGATTTAAGAGTATTTTTGTTTTTTCATAGCTGCAAAAAATGCGTTAAATGTTCATCATAGCTTTGATTTTTTTTTATATGTATAGAAATCAAAATGGTTAATACGGCAATGTTTATAATTTTGCAAGAAAAAAAATGTAGCCCCAAATAAAAGCTCAAAATAAGTGTGTGAAATAAGCCCTCGGGAAAAAATTAAGCAGTTTAATATGGGGATAAGTTTGACAAGTGTGTATATTCGGAGTTCCCCACTAGGTTTACAGTATATCATGTATATTGACCGTTATTATGAAGTAATGTGATTCGTAAAACTACGGGTATTGAAGACAACCTTGTATGCATGAATGATTTCACACCTAACTAATTTAAAAAAATTAAAAAGTTTTTATTTAGATAATATTGAAAATTGTCAACTGTTAATACAGTTAAAGATACATTTGGTTACAAATATATTGGGTAACCTTTTTCGATTTATCTGTAAATAGTTTTAAATGCGAATAAAACCGTCCTGTGTGAAATTGCAGGTATCTAGTGCTGGTTCCGATTTTGTTCGATGAGATGAGAGGCGAGGGAGTGTTAAATAATTAATAAAATTTAGCACATTCACTAAATAAGCGGGGAATACCAAAATGTTCAGCGGCAAATATTTCAAAATACTATTTTTTTTTAAATCAATTTCTATCTAAAATTTATGTATTAAATAGGTGTGATAGTTGTGTCTCTTTGTCACAACCTTATATTGCACACGGTAAAATTGTTTTACAAATAATTTAACCTATCCCTGACTGTCAGAAATTTTGTATCCGTGACTTTTAAGTTTTAATGACGATCAATGTTTGGAAGTTGCTACACTTATAAATTAGCTATGACTATGTAATGGTTGTAGCAATCATATTTTTACTGTTACAACCTTTTCAGCGTTTAAACAGTTTATTTATGACTGTTTCAACGTTTTCCGTGTTGGGACAGTTATTAAATAACTGTTACAACTTTCAAATGGTTGCAGCAGTCTTATTGTGACTGTGACAACCTTTTGGGCGTTTAATCAGTTTTTTTATGACTGTTGCAACGTTTTTCGAGTTGGGACAGTTGTAAATCAACTGTTACAACTTTGAAATAGTTGTATCAGTCCTTTAATGACTGTGACAGTTATTTCTAGCGTTGTTGCAGTCGATTTATGTTATAGACAAACACTTTTAAAGTTGGGACAGTTACAAAATAACTGCAGCAGTGAAATTTAACAACTGTAACAACTTTAACAAACATTATCAGTCTTAGAACAACTGTTACTGGTATGGACAGTTGTTTTTTCGTCCAGTAGTGGTGGTGTATGTATACACAATTTTGGCTGCTATGTCCCAATTATTGTCACGTTTACTTTTTATCTCTGTTTGGGTTGCACCCTCATCCATAAACACTATCATACAAGTGGGAGGTTTAGTTAACTATAAAAAGACAAACCAGTTTTAATCCTACATTTTCTTTCGCCGGGGAAAAAGCATGTACCCAGTCAGAGTTATGACAGTTGTTTTTCATTCGTTCCGTTGATTGATTTAGTAGAGTGTTTGATTGTGTCAGGTTTAGACTTCCTTTTTTTTGAATTTCGGTATTTTGTTAAAAATACTTTTTAATGCTTCCATGATCTCCAGCTATCCTTAGAGTATGCTTTTAACATATGATTAAGTATCTGCGAGTGTCGAAATTTTTTATAATTTAAAGTTAAGTTTAAGACCGTAGTTAGATACACCACTGACCGTGTTTCTTCGCTGCTTCTTACTGAAATTGCAGGTTGGTAAAATGCAAGAGCCCCAACAATATGAAGAAGGCTACACTACTTCTCGATACACAGTAAATAAGAAAGTAGGATTCCGACGCACCGTTAGTTGTGTGATATATTTAAGGTAAAATAAAAAAGGAGGGAAGTCCATTAAATCTGACCAAATCAAACACTCGATTCTAATAATCAACGGAACGAATGGAAAACAAATGTCGTATTTTTGACTTGGTACAAGCATTATCCACGACAGAACAAAATGATGGGTTAAAACTGGTTTTATAGTTAACCATAACCTACCTCAAGACAGTGGTTTAAAAATACATAGGAATTAAACTAATTAATTGGATTGAGTTGAATTATCAGATCTGTACTAAGTACAAAACGGCTACCAAAAAGACAAAATTCCGATCCGCCATCAATCACATCTTGTAAATGCTAGTCCAAAACCAGATTTTACAAATTATTGAACCGTGTCTACCTGTCTGAAATATCAAAAGGCTTGATTTTTTTATTAACTAGGTTTACCAGGAGAAAAACTATTCAAAGTTTCGAGCTGACAAGTTTTACCTTTACTCTTTAGTAACCGAATTTGTACTAACCATAACCAACATGACTGATGTCATTAGTAAAGCAGAATCTGTGTACCATTCTGGAGCACTTGAGATCACCCTCAGTTTATTGTGGAGTTCGTGTTTCAGACTTGAAAACTTATTACGTAGTGCTTTGTTGCTTGTTTATTTTTTCCGTCGTTTTTAGTTTTTTTTGTCATGGAGTTGTCAGTTTAAATTAGACTTAATAGTTTTGAATGTCCTTGTTATCATCTGTTTGGGAGAACAATGACCAACTCAAGCACAAGCATGTTACCATGATACAACCGAAGCAGTGTATATGTTGAAGAATATAAATGTAAATTTGACAAGTAAAAACAAGAAGATGTGGTATGATTGCCAATGAGACAACTTTCCACAAGAGACCAAATGACACAGAAATTAAAAACTATAGTTCACCGTACGGCCTTCAACAATGAGTTAAACCCATACCGCATGGTCTGTTATAAAAGGCCCCGAAATGACAAATGTAAAACAATTCAAACGAGAAAACTAACGGGCTGATATATGTGCAAAATAATGAACGAAAAACAAAGATGATATACAGCAACAAACGACAACCACTGAACTACAGGCTCCTGACTTGAGACAGGCACATACAGAATGTAACAAAATAAACATACATTTTTTTTGTTCAACTATAAGAAAACGTAAAATCCTAATGTATAATTTATTAAGCCAGTTTTAATATAGTGCATACACTTTGACTTCCGCCACATGTAAATACTCTCTTCCTCGTAGCCTCAATTTCACAAAACGTGCCGTTTCGTCATATCGACATACAAGAACAAGATGAGATCCGAGTTGAGCCGGTCCGTCATAATGGGTACATTGATGCATGTTATTTGAAGAAGTACCAACAATAATGTCCAGGTCTTTCAGACGTCGTCCTGAAACAAATTAAAAGCTAATTTATTTTCCTATGTTTTTATTGCAGTTTATTTATGTATTATATTTTCGTATAGGTCTTTCCTTGTTTGGCTTGTTAATGCATTCACGTTTGCTATCGATAACTGATTTTCTAGTTTTAACACTTACGTTTGGTATGAAATCTCCTCCTTATTTTGATAAGAAAACGTCAATTTCTACACTTTTCTATCCGCTACAAGGCTTAACATCTGTATTAAATTCAGAGAATAGTGTTTATAAGAATGTAAAAGGTTGCAAAAAATGATCAAATCGGAAATTTATCATAGAGATTGATCAGGTCAATAACAGTAAATAAACATATCATAGATAACAGGTTTAAAATTTTGCACGCTTGACGCGCATTTCGTCTACAAAAGACGCATCAGTGACGCTGTAATAACAAAAGTTAAGAAGGCCAACTAAAATACGAAGTTGAAGAAAATTGAGGACCCCAAATTCAGAAAGGTTTGCCAAATACAGCTAAGGTGGTCTACAAATTGAACACAAACAAAAGAAGTAATGAATCATATAATGTCAATTGGTGTATAAAAATATTTATTATACGTCACCTAACCGAAATATCCCATCACGTAGATAGCTTTACTCACCTGTGGCTATGTCGCCATGCTTTCTGTTGAATATTTCGATCCGCTTTATCTGGTATGGTTTTCCTAGGTCAACAATCCAATAAGGTGATTGATCTTTGTAAGTGTGCATATATGTATTCAAATCACCATCAACAGCCTTTGAAGCATATTCTCCCCAACCGGTTGAACTTTGTCTGCATGACTTTCCGTACGCAACTTCCCTTAAAGGGATTTCTTTGATGTATGGAAATATAGAAAAGGATAGAATAAGATAGTCACTTTTATATAAAAAGAGGTAACCAAATGCGTAATAGACAGAAATAAAAGGCAAGAAAGACGTACACCTCAAATACAGATATTATGGGTGTGTCACCATTGAAAAAATTAAATAATCTTTTTTCCATGAAGTTTGAATCGCAACCAGCCATGTGTGTTTGAAGCTCAATAACCATTATCTTTTGATTGTTCAAGCTTTTTTTACAGTAAGGATAGGAATAATAAATTTGACAAACATTTTACTACATGTTGATATAATATAGAATATTCCTTTAAGGGTGATTCCACCTACAAGAAGTTTATTTCAAGTGGCCTTTCAAAAAGTTTCTGTTTGCATTGTAAACTTCTTGATAAAGGTTGTAACTAGGGGGGGGGTGGTGGGAAGGAGAAGGGGATAAACATCAATTTTCTAAATTATAGATTAAGCAAGACTAATTGTTTGGTTTTTTAATTTCTGCTACATTGAAATCGTGTACAAATATATTTTACAGGCATTCAACAAGATAATGTCTTTATTTGTACTTTTTATGACATTGTCTTGTGAAATCTACGCCGAATTTAAGTGCAGTCACTGATGTCAAATTGTAAGACGATATCATTTCACTTTAGAAGATCAATTTCAGATCCTTTAGAGTGGTTTTGATTTTTATTGTTGATGTTTTAATAGCGACTTTTGGTGCCTATTGTACAGTTATTAAAATCAGTTAATTGCTTTTCCAATTTAGATTTTAATTGTACTTTTTTCATGCACGTTTTATTATAAAATAATTTTACACTGATGAAGATGTTCAAGTGCATGTGTCAAGTCAGGCACCTTAAATTGCTAGTGATGTTTGTTATATATAAGTGCTGTTTTGTCATGTAGAGAATTGGTATTGATTACAGAATTTTTATGATCTCTGCTGATGGTATTCACGACTTTTTTTAGAATTGGATCGATTTAGAATATGATACCTTCTCTATTGTGGAAGATAATATGCTGACCCTCATTTCTGTGTCAGAGGATTGCTATGTGGTTGACTTATACATTTCATTCGTACAAAATACATAAATAATTAATGTTTAGGTAAAAGGCCAAATATGAAAAAAAAGATTTAAAAGGTTGATTAAATAATGCTTATTTTTCATTGGCAAATATGCCATACACATTCAGGTTAATAACATGTTAAAATGTTATATATTTAAATCCAGCTTTCTACTCTACAAACTCGTTGTGTCCGACATTACAATGTAATTGTGTCAATGATAATATGTCATCCAACAAGGATACTTTATTGCGTCTCCGAGCCGATTAGTCTTTTTCCTGATCCTTAGGGTCGCATATTTTTGGATATATCAGCAAATATCAGCAAAAACCAATACAAGTTAAGTTCATTGGTTTTCAACTTGGGATCAAACCCACAATCGTAAGCAATGGAGGAGAGCATATACACTTAGACCATCAACAAGAGCATTTGCGTAGTCGTTAAACGTTATTCAACACGATAATGCGAGAGTTAAATGGTACATTATCACTTATGAATAAGAAATTGACTATAATGTCTAGAGGATTAAAAATACTTTTCGCAAAAGTCATTCTTTTTTAATATGAAAGACGATTGGCAGTACTGTACTATAATACTATACATGTGTTTTCTTTGAATTCTAAAGCGCAAATGTTCACGAAACATCTTACTTTGTGAATAGTCACACTTATTCCAAAATAATGCCACATGAAACCTTTTCATTCAAAAAAAGAATCGCCTTGCCGAATTCCGTAAGTTGACGCTCAGATATATTAATGATAACAGTTAATTTACCTCCACATTTCAACAATCGATTTGTTGAATGAAATTGTATATCCTTGTATACTTAGCTTGAAATTAAGTATAGTACTATTTATGCCCTATCTAAATATTGTTTTCTTGAAATTGAAAATGATGGTACACTTCCAACTAAGTTCTAAGAAAAAAAGGTTTTTAACGAGTGTCAACAAAGAGGGAGGGAATAGTGCGAACATAAAACTTGTTTAATTCAACCCCAGTTCGTGTCTGCATCAAGTCAGATTATCTGGACTAAGTGATGTTAGTTGTTTTGTGACTAAATACTTGGTACGATCACCATCACCAATTGGCAAAACAACTTTTCTGTGTCTCAACTAATGACAGACATATGTTCGTGGTCTTATATCTTAAAAAAACTCGAAAAGTCGTCTGATGAGTGAGGTAAAGACACACATGCATAGCAAGAGACGCTTACCTCGTTGACACACCCAGCCTAGCTCTTTTTTGAGTTCATGCGATTTCCTGATTGCCGCGGGTGAAAAAGCATTCATAGCAATTGGTGAAAATGAAATGTTAATCCGCAAAAAAAATCCTCCTCCCCCACCCGAATATCAAATGGTTGTATCTTTACACAATTCTAAATGGAGAAAGAAGACACAGCAACCTCCATTGTCGAGATAATTCATTATGAACGATCACACTAACAATTAAAGTTGACTTTTTTGTGAGCTCTTGAGTCCCAATCTCCTGCGTTAAGTACCAGGTTGTTTTACAACTATAGTAATACCACTTGAAGATACCTCTTGCTATATAAGAAGAAAGATTGTACATACCTTTTGGGTGTCGGCGGAGTAGTTCTCGTAGAAATTTAGTGTTACGGTCTACCTTTGATTCTATTCTTTGTAACAGCTGAAAATTTTGTCCAGTTGTTGTTGAAACAAAAATTAGAAAAACAAAAACAAACAAAATTTGCATTTTCTTTACGCTTTAGTTTTTAGGAAATTACTTTCGGAAAGAGAAACTGTGCGTATTCTACGAAAAAAACAAATAATCACACAAAGCTGTCGTCAGATGTCGTGTCATTGCAATGCAAAAGAGATAGTTTGCATGTTTAAAATAACTTACACCTCAAATATCAATAAAAAGACACTATCAAATGTTCCAGTTTTGATTAAAAGGACTAAAAAAATTATGATATTTTCATACAAGCGATAGTCGTTGAACTTTAAAGGGAATTTTAAAGTTTTCTGCTTAGGTCTTAATAATGACCAGTGATTGTTTATTTCTTTTAAGTTGATTGGAGTATTAAGATCTATGAGTTTGACTGTCCCTCTGGTATCTTTCGTCCCTCTTTTTTAAGACCTTGGTCGATAAAAAAAATGTACATGTAATTTAAAAGATAAAGTACTATTTTATTTGCAATTAAATGATTTTTTAAGCAAGATCGTTCTTTATCTAGTTTTTCAATTCATTGATACATACAGAATTTACAAGAAAAACACAAGAAGTTGTGTAATTAAATATTCAAAGTCCATGCATTTGTCAGATCATATGATATTATGTTACAACTATTATAAAAGATATAGCATGCTTAATTCAAGTAGAAGGTATGATGAAGCCTACAATGTGGCCCCTTCAGTGCAAAAAGTAAAACAAAAAAAAACAAAAAAACAAGGGAAGATACAAAGCACGTAATCAGAATTCCCCAGTCAAACAACAACAGATTACATCAGAGTTTGAAAAAATATATGCAAATACATATATTCAACAGTCAATGATTTTATATCCCTTTGTAAACATACATACAACATACATACATACGTACATTCGGCATGTTAAACTATAATATTTATATATATTCATATTTTTCTAAAACACTGTTTGACACATATTCTACTAGTATATGATATGGAAAATAGAATTAAACGCAAAGTTTATTAGCAAACAAACTTTCTTAAAAATGTCTTAGAAAATGAATAAATAAAGGTTCGCAATAGAAAGATCATTTTGACTTCACACAAAAAGTACACCGAGGATTAAAGACAAAAAGAAAAGGCATCTTGCTTTCAGATATATTGGTAATGTACTGTCACTCAATAACCCATATTTCGAAGAGTGCTTACATATCATATATCCTACTGAACTTGAAATTTAGGAAACTAACGAAAGTAGAATGTCTGCATCATATATTGATCTTTCCCTCTATCTTTAAACCGATTGACGGCTTCAAACTAGAATCTATGACAAACGTGATGATTTCAGCTTTCCAATTGTGAACTTCCAATTTTTCAGCAGTAACATACCCTTTGCGCTATCGTATGCGGTTTACATCTCTCAGTTAATACGTTACGCTCGTGCATGTTCATTCTATACGGGCTTCATTTACATGGATATGCTGCTGACACAAAAAAGTGTGAATTTATATGTCGGGTGATGCATGTATAGCATGTATAGCAGGATACGCTTACTCTGTCGACGCACCCGTTCTTGCTCCTTTTCGAGTGCACGTGGTTCACTCAGGTTGTGTTTGTTTCTTTGCTTTGTCTTCTTAGTCGATTTATGCGATTTGAACAAAGTTAAAGTAATGTTGCCTGAATTTTACACTGTTGGCGTAACAAATACAAGGGAAAGTGACCATTATTCTTTGAACGAACTTAGAATTGTTGAACAGTACCTTTGAAACATTATTTCTCTGGACCTAATAGTGTCGAGGAAATACGTACTTTCAAGAAGCGCCTGCATATGGAGTATATCTCACAGTTGATTCGAGATTCCAGGGCTTGCATTTTCTATCATGATTTCCTTGAAAGAGGGTTGCTGTTCACAAGGAAGCTATTACACCAAGAGTTCCAAGTGGTGTCGCTGAAATCATCCCTTCGAAAAATTTACGGACGCCTTTACGAGTTGGTTAATTGTTATGGAATATCTTTTTCACAGATGACGACGAATATGTTTCAATTAACTACAATCCCCTCCCCTTTTCCACGAATGTGACCTACCGAATAAGACTTATCACCGGGTTTGTAATTACATGAGCGTTTTTGTCGCAAAAGGTTTTCTCCTATTTGTGCTATTTCAGAAAAAGAGAGATAGAGGAAGACCACCAGTACTGGTAAAAATTTAGAAAATACATTCTCATTGCACAGTGGATAAGTTAAATAAAAGACCAGCATCCCAACGTCTCCTCCGATGGAAATATTTTATCTGTCCTTGGACAATAATACATATACAACTGTATATAGGACTTAGGAGCATAGAAATAGTTCATCAGAGCAGTTAATCAAACTTGTTAGAGATTTAACATTTCATAAACATCCGACAAGAAATGAAGGTTTGAGAGTTCTTACTATGCAAGTTTCTATATAATTTATATTTTCAAGGAGCATATATACTTAAAAAAATAATGGATCGACACTGATTTCTGGACTCATTGGAAACATTGAAAATATATACCTATATACTCTATGATCATATTGTTTATCAAATCCTACATCACTAAAACACTTAAATATTTCTTTTTAGAATTTTACATATTTTCACCACATGAATGCAGAAAGGACGAAGTATTCATTTATTTTTGTAATGAAATTTACAGAAATGAAAAATTCCAACGAGAAAAGAGGGCATTGGATCTAGGAAAAAAATTTTTTTTGTGTTTCAAATATTTGTAGAAATCAGTTATATTAAAGCAGAACTTAGTTGTGCATGATGATATATTATCATTTTACATTATTTATTTGTGTGATACTTTTATTAAATAAATTGAACCCCTATTCCAATACTTTTAACAATTAAAATATTACATTTCAAACTTTGTCAATAGTATTCGGTGATCTCGAGTTACTGTAATAATATTTTCTTTGTATGATGTAAGTTCTTGTAACACAATCAATATTTGTTTGTAGTATCATACTGATAGCCTCAAAATATCCTACAGGAAAGGTCAACTTAAGGAATAATCGTAAAGAATGAGTCAACGAAAATCAATTATGTGAAAAGTAGCTAAATTGCTACTATTCTTATATGGCATATAAATAATACAATTCAAAATAGTCAAATTTAAAATCATAATTCAAAGTTTGGTAGTAGCTGTAATAGTCCGTTAGTTTTCTCGTTTGAATGGATTTACTTTGACATCCGGGTTTTTTCTCCGAAAAAGATGAGCTCCAATTGTGATATTCCAGAAAGATAAAGACAGCATAAGACTAACAGTACTTGTAATAATAAAGAAAATAGAGAAAATTTAAGCAGATCACAGAATCAATATAGTTAGATAAAAGAACGCCGATGGACCTATTTTATTTATCCTAGGACAATAAATCCAATATATGCTTTAAGGGGGAGGCTATCCCGTGAAACCGTTAATGTGATTTTTTTTAAATGAAATAAGCCCGATAAAAGGACGAACTATTTAAACCACAACTGAGACAAGAAAATTATTTGAGAGTGGCAAAATTTTGGCAACACGCTACTTGTAATATTCAGTCATCTTTTTTTAATAAAAACAAAGACTGATTAATAGTAAAAATTTTACAGACATGTTACAATAAATAAAACTTTAAAATTTAAAAAGTCTGTTTCGTTTAAAGTGATATGACTATCGAAAATCTAAATTATATAATACATAACTTGCATTATGTATAATTTTAGAATAAAGACGATTGATTATTAAAATCTGATATCATCCATTGCTTTGAAATTCAAAATTTCAAAAATTTTCTCGTAAAAATTCTTTGCAAAAACATTTTACAGGAAATTTCAATAAATTGTAAGTTCAAGCTGTTACTTACACGCGATGTTTTAGTCTATTGGAAAAACCCGTAATGGATAATTTGAAGTCGTATAAAAAAAAAGCCATAAATATATTGATATTTCAATTTCATTGCATGAACAAGAATATTAAATTTGCATAATTATCACACTGTTCTTTTATTTTGATAAAAAAAAAAATGTTTTAATTCATAAAAACTGTTCACTCTTCTAGTCCAAGATTCAAAGGTTTTACATATTTAATTCAATTTGATGAAAATGTTTTATACATAATGAATGCTAGTAACATAATCCCAATGTGGGATATAAACTTATAAAATGGAATTCCTTTTTTTCTGCATGTCTATTCCCACGACATAACTTTCAATTTTCTCAGATTGTTCTTGTGTTTAGTGTCTACCGAAGTAAATAAAAATGCAACATCTGAACATTAAATTAAAAATAAATCATTGGAATTATCCCGGGAATGTTGACTGCCGCTGTGCTGCGTTGTTACGTATTTTGGTGAGCATTACTATGGACCATGGAAATGACGACAGACGTCATCTAATCTAATGTATTTATAATTTAATTGTCAAACTTGCGACATGTTTTCGTGGTCTCAGATCTTTAGGTACAAGAATAGTTGTCGATCTGTAATTTTACCGATTGTGTCCTTTTCCCGATAATGTTATTTTGATTTAGGGAGACTATGCATTGTGGGGGATGTATGCATAGCAAGAGGCGTTTACCTTATCAACGCATCCGGTCTCACTTTTTTGTAAATCCTACAATTCCATCATTTGGGTTTTTACATTGATGTGTATTATCGTAATGAATTCATGAGATTTGAACATCGGTTTACTTCAGTTGCCTTTAATAAGACATTGTTTGTATACCTAAATTGACATTTATGTTTGTTAATGCCTTCGGTACGGCTGTTTGTGAAGAAATAAATTATAAAAGAAATTTGGCAGGGTTGGTTGATCTTTAGGTACAAGAATATCGTCTGATCTATAAACTTATTGATTGTGTCCTATTCCCGATAATGTAAATTTGAGTGTGATTAAATTTTTAATTATTTATCAGAGTAAAAACTGAAGAAAAATCATAGTGAGCAAAAACAGTCAATACCTTATTATAACAGTTACTATTTATGTTAAAGTATCTGATTTAATTGAAGTTTATTGGGTTAAAATCTATGATCGATTCAATGCTGGATATCATTCATAGAGTTTATATTTCTTTTTGAGTATTCGATTTTATTTGTTAACAGTATTGTGCACACTGTATATAAATTTATCTCTACTAATAAATGATTTTGTTGATTTTGTGTTAT